CTTTAAGACATCTGGAAATTAATTGGCAGCATGCTTCCTCTCCATTAATCGACCTCCACAACGCCAGCTGGGGCGTCCGATACCACAGCGTCGATTGGACCCGCAGGCATAGGGTCCGCAGGTGGTCGCAGTCACGAGCCACGAAGCGGCCCCGGTCACGCGCCCGTCGCGGGCCGCAGCGCCAGCAGTGGCTCCCGAGGCAGACTCGCACGCCGCGAAGGCATGCAGGAGCATGTAATCACCACATACGTGGCTTCAATCGCAAACCCGTCAGGGCACAGAGGGGTGACCACGTCGCCGGCGACTCGCGGCCCAAGCGTGGCGGCTGGTGCGTAGGGGGACCTGCAGACGGTCTCAACCCTGTCGGAAACACCTAGCAGACGCGCACGCCGCGGGAGAAAGCTCGAAGCTGCAGGGGGTGCGGTCAAGAACCCTTGAGTTTCGCGGGTCGCCGCGGCGGCCCCGACACGCTACGCCCCGAAAAAACGCGGAGGGGCGGGTCGCTCAGTTCCGCGAGGCGGGAGGTTCGGGGAGAGCTCGTGAAGTCGACGCCTGGGGACTGGGAGGTTCGGCTATACGCAAGAATGACCCCGGGTAAGAGTGGCCTTTGGTGCGCGGGTGGCGGGCGCTGCTGGGAGAGCGGCGAGAGGTGCTCGGCGCAGGAGGCCTGGGCATGCGGTGCTGTCGTGTACATCTGGTGCGGCCCAGGTGGGGGGCGAGCTCCCGCTGAAACCAAACTGGCGACGGTGGAGGAGGGGAGCGAGTGAGTGAGTGAGTGAGTGAGTGAGTGAGTGAGTGAGTGAGAGAGCGAGCGAGTGAGTGAGTGAGTGAGCGAGCGAGTGAGTGAGTGAGCGAGTGAGGTGAGTGGGTGAGTGGGTGAGTGAGTGAGTTAGTGAGTGAGTGAGTAGGTGAGTGAGTGGGTGGGTGAGTGAGTGAGTGGTTGAGTGGGTGGGCGTTTGGGTGAGTGAGTGGGTGGGTGGGTGAGGCGCTCTCTAATGCGGATACCTGACTATCCCATGAGCCTGAAAGCTTAGCGCGGAGGCACCTAATTTCCGCCGCCGAGGTGAAACAGGAGGCGGAACGCGAGGGCGTGCAAGAGCCGGGAATCTCAGCAATCCAGGAACCGCCATGGTCAAAATTCTTACTCCTCAGCATGAAGGAAACGGGTCCCGAGGGAAGCGGGTCCTGGACCCTGGAGCCTTCCACCAAGACAAGATCTTCATCCTGCGTCGTTTTTCCTACGGTCACCGGGCGCGTGGAAGGCCCGAGGGCCTGGAAACGGCGAAAAAACTCAGGACCCGCTTCCCTCAGGACCCGCTTCCCCCACGGCGATGGTCCACCCTCTGGAGTAGATGGGCCCGAGGCACCTGCGCTGACGAGGGAGCGGGCCAGAGAACGCGTTGAGAGAAGGGCAAGAGGAGAGAGGAGGAGGAGAAGAAATGAGGCGGAGGAGGAGGAGGAGGAGGAGGAGGAGGAGGAGAAGGAGGAGGAGGAGGAGGAGGAGGAGGCGGAGGAGGAGGGAGGAGGAGGAGCAGGAGGAGGAAGGAGGAGAGGAGGAGGAGGAGGAGGAAGAAGGAGGATGAGGGGAGGAGGGGGATCATTGAGGAGGAGAAGGAGAAGGAGGAGGAGGCGGAGGAGGAGGAGGAGGAGAGGAGGAGGAGGCGGAGGGTCAGGCAGGACGAGGAAAAAGGAGGAGGACGAGGACAAAGGAGGAGGATGGGGGAGGAGGGGAAGAGGAAGAGGAGGAGGAGGAGGAGGAGAGGGGAGGACGAGGAGGAGGAGTAGACGAGGAGGACGAGGAGGGTCAGGAGGACGAGATGAGGAGGAGGGGGAGTGAGAGGAGGAGGAGGCGGAGGAGGAGGAGGAGGAGGAGGGCGAGGAGGAGGAGGAGGAGGAGGAGGACGAGGAAGGGGGAGGAGGGGGAGGAGGAGGAGGAGGAGGAGGAGGAGGAGGAGGAGAAGGAGGAGGAGGAGGAGGAGGAGGAGGAGGAGGAGGAGGAGGAGGAGGAGAAGGACAATAATAATAAACATAATACTAATACTAGTAATAATACCACGAATAATAATACTACTACTAACAATAGTAATACTAATGATGATAATACCACTACTATTTGAACTAATAATAAGACTATCACTACCAAAAACAATAATAACAGCACGAATAATATTGAGACAATGAATACTAACAATACTGACATTAATAGTAATGATATTATTATTCGTATTATGAATTAATGATAATACTAATACTCATAAGATTGCTAATCATAATACTAATACTAATAATTATGATACTAATAATACCAAATACTAATGATGATAATAATACAAATAATAATAATAATAAGAATACTAATAATAATAATAATAATAATAATAATACGAATAAACGTAAATAAAAATAATCATAATAAGAATAATAAGAATAATAAGACTAAGACTACTAATACGATTGATAATAATGCTACTAAGCATAAGAAGACGAATACTAAGAAAACATAATGAGGGCGAGGAGGAAGAGGAGGAGAAGGATGATGCGGAGAAGGCGGAGGAGAAGATAAGGAGAAGGAGGAGGAGGAGGAGGAAGAGCAAAAGGAGGAGGAGCAAAAGGAGGAGGAGGAGGAGGAGGAGGAGGGTCAGGAGGACGAGGAGGATGAGGAGGAGGAGTAGGAGAAGGAAGGAGGACGAGGAGGAGGAGGACGAGTTGGAGGAGGGGGAGGAGGAGGAGGAGGAGGAGGAGGAGGAGGAGGAGAAGGAGGAGGAGGGCGGAGCGGAGAGGAAGAGGAGGAATGGGAGGAGGAGCCCGCGGAGGAGGAGGAGGAGGAGGAGCCGGCAACCAGCCAGGCGGGGGCTATGGTTGTCTTCTCGAGCCACAAAACCGCTCGGCCTATGGCGGCTGGGGCTCGGGGGGACCATCCTGGGGCACTCCCGGGGCGGGCCCTCGGCTGCCCGAGGCTGCGACAACAGCCGACAGCCGCAGAACTTAAAAAGCAGGAGAAACCTCGATCCTCGAGTGAGGAGGAGGAGGAGGAGGACGGGGAGGAGGAGGAGGACGAGGATCCGGAGGAGGCGCAGGAGAAGGAGGGAGGGAGGTGGAGGAGGAGGAGGAGGAGGCGGACGAGGGAGGAGGAGGAGGAGGAGGAGGAGGAGGAGGAAGAGGAGGAGGAGGGGAGGAGGAGGAGGAGGCCCCTAGAGGAGGAGAGGAGGAGGAGGAGGAGGAGCCCCCGAGCCCTGAGCGTCCTGGATCATCGGCTGCAGGGCCGACAGCGCGGACGTGACCTCTTGCTCCGCGGCCTTCACGCGAGACGCGAGGCTGGAGCGCCGCTCGTGTGCCAGCCGCGCCTCCTGAGAGGGGCGCAAAACCTCCCTCTCCCCCGCCCCCCTTTCCTCCACCTCCCGCCATTCCCGTCCTCCCTCGTCATCCTCGTCCTCCCTCGTCTTCCTCGTGGTCCTCGTCCTCCTTCCTCCCTCCCCCCTCCCTACGAGAGGGACTCGCCCCCGCCCCCCCCCCCCCCCAAATGGCGACCCAAAGAGGAGGACTGCGCACGCAGGCAGCGCCAGCGATCGCCTCCCCCAGGCACCTACTCAAACAACCTACTCCCTCCTCTCCCCCTCCCTCCCCCCTGCCTCCTCCTCGCCTCCCTCCCTCCCTCTACTCTTCCTCCCCTACTTCCTCTCCTCTCCTCTCCTCTCCCAATCTCCTCTCCTTCCTCCTCCTCTCTCCTTATCCTTATCCTCCCCTCCTCCCCCCTCCTCCTCCCCTGCCTCCTCCTCATCCTCCTCATCCCTTCTTATGTTTCGGATGTTATTGTTATTCTCCGTCTTCCTCTCCTCTTCTTCCTCTTCCTCTTCCTCCTCCTCCTCCTCCTCCTCCTGCTCCTGCTCCTGCTCCTGCTCCTGCTCCTGCTCCTGCTCCTCCTCCTCCTCCTCCTCCTCCTCCTCCTCCTCCTCTTCCTCTCTCCTCATTCCTAGCCCCCTCTTCCTTCCTTCTCCCTCCCAAATCATCCGCCTCCGCCCCTCCTCATTCTTCGTCCCTTTCCTCTCCTCCTGCTCATCCCTCCGCGGGCCTCCGTCCGCATCCCACCCTGCGTGAAGGGGGGTTGGACGAGTGGAATGGAAAGGGAAATCAGTAAGGCAGCTAAGAGGTTCGAGGGGAGAGGAGGAGGGGGGCGAGAGAGGGGCGAAACTGACGGGAAAGGGTGGGGGGATATGAAACTGGGGAGAGGGAGGGGAGGAGGGGAGGGATGGAGAAAGTCGGGATTGTACTGTAATGCGGGGAGGGGACAGGGCAATGTGAAATATGATAGGCGGGCCATATCCTGGGGTGGACAGAACCGATTTTCGCAATACGCCCTTTAGCGAAAGCTGCCAGGGGCACTCCAAGTGCGCACGGCACCGCATTCCGAATGCACCCCAGCGGGGTAGCTAATCGACGTCACGGAACAACCGAGCATATCCAACGAAACGCACGTGGATTGGAGAAACCAAAACTGGGGACGGCACCAGCACACTCGAATGCCAATGTCGAATGAATCCCGCCCTCCCTCCCTCCCTCCTCCACCTCCTCCTCTCCTCCTCCTCCTCTTTTGCCACTGCGACTGTGGCGATCATGACACTCATGACACTCCTCCTCCTCCTCCTCCTCCTCATCCTCCTCCTCCTCCTTCTCCTACTCCTCCTCCTTTTCCTTTTCCTCCTCCTCCTCCCTCCGCCTCCTCCTCCTCCCTCCCTCCCTCCCTCCCTCCCTCCCTCCCTCCCTCCCTCCCTCCTCCGTAATGAACCCCCAAACCTTGCCATCTCTTACACCTTCTGCTTCCGCCAGCTTCTGCCGGCCTCCCGCCAGCGGGGCCGCCCCCGCGTCACTCCCGCCGCCTTCCGCCGGCCCTCCGCCGAGGAAGGGATCGCCACTCTCGAGGAGGGGGATCGACTACATCAGTGGTTTACCCCAGCATTGATTTGTCCGTCGAGACTCTACGACACGTGCGTAGAATGCTCCGTCGATCTACGGAGCGGAGCATTCTTCGCACTTGCCATAGCTTCGGCGGACAACTCAATCTTGGGATTGACCAATTCCGTAGTCGATCCCCTACTCGAAATTTGGCGCCCGAATTATCCGGGGTAACTCGGGTTCGGAATCCCCCAAAACGAACCCGAGTTAGCCCTGACCCGAGCTACCGCCGATGATTAGGGGCTCTGGACGCCCGCATTATCCGGGGTAACTCGGGCCCAAGGTAACTCTGGTTCGGAATCCCGAAAAACTTGAGCAGAGACCGGCCGTCCCGGCATTCCTGTAGGCCTACCACGAAATGTTCTCTGAACCCAAGAATGTTCGAAAAACATAAACAATGTTCTTATAACAAACAACGATATGCTAAAGCAAGACAGTCCCAGCCAGAAATGTTCAGAGAACATTCCCTGGAAGCCACAAAACGCTCTTAGAACATTGTTTGGTAGGCCTATAGGCACGCCAGGACGCTTCGCCACTGCTTCGCCGAGTTAGCCCTGACCCGAGCTCACCCTGACGACTCGGGGCTCCGACGAAGCTCCCTCGAGACCCTCGAAGGCGAGGCTCTCTCCCCGGAACCCGCCACATGCCCAGACGCCTGAGGCCGCTCCGACTTCTTGTCGCGAGGCGTGGTCCCTGGAGGTCTAGGTTTAGGTCGGGCCTGTCCCCCTACAGGGGGATTTTTGGCGAGAAATGAAAAATAGTCCAAACATAATCAAAAAAGATTCAAAACGCTCCTAAAATCATCCCCTGACGATTTTGGGAATATTTTTGAATGTTCCTCCTGTAGAGGGACGTGCCCGACTTAAATCTAGGTCTGGAACGCTTCCCCCAGGGCCGGTTTCTCTCGTCCCGAACCGCTTTTAGAGGCCTCCCAAACCCAGATGGGGTCGGAGGAGATGGGGTCGGAGGATGAGGAGGAGGACGACGAGGACGAGGATGACGAAGACGACAAGGAGGAGGAGGAGGAGGAGGAGCAGGAGGAGGAGGAGGAGAAACAGGAGGTGGCGCGGACGCGCACTTCCAGGTTCTAGGCCTTCTAGATGGGGTCGGAGCGACGGGGTCGGGGGATCGCGACGCATCGCCAGTGCATCGGCGATGTATCGGCGATGTGCCAGCGATGCACTGGCGATGCAAAACGTCGACATCGGTGGTGCATCGGCGACGCCGACGTGGAGCAAGCCGCATCGCCGATGCATCGGCGCTGTGGCGCGATCCTCCGACGCCATCTGCTCCGACGCCATGTGGGAATTTTCGGGCGGTCCCGGAGCCCGGCGAGGGCCCCTGCCTGGGGGCCGAGAACGGCCCCGGGACCCGCCGCTCTGACTTTTGTGGGAGCGTCGGCTCTCTGGAGCCCGCCATACTTTTTCCCAACCGTCCTGTGGTGTTGGGCCCTCGTTTCGACGAGGCAGCGCCCTTCCTTCCGTCCTCCTCCCCCTACTCCTCCCTCCATCATCATCATCATCATCATCATCATCATCATCATCATCATCATCATCATCATCATCATCATCATCATCATCATCATCATCATCATCATCATCATCATCATCGTCATCATCAGCATCCTCATCATCAGCATCAGCATCAGCATCATCAGCATCCTCATCATCAGCATCAGCATCAGCATCAGCATCAGCATGAGCATCAGCATCAGCATCAGCATCATCATCATCATCATCATCATCATCATCATCATCATCATCATCATCATCATCATCATAATCATCATCGTCATCATAAGCATCCTCATCATCAGCATCATCATCATCAGCATCCTCATCATCAGCATCAGCATCAGCATCATCAGCATCCTCATCATCAGCATCAGCATCAGCATCAGCATCAGCATGAGCATGAGCATGAGCATCAGCATCAGCATCATCATCATCATCATCATCATCATCATGATCATCATCATCATCATCATCGTCATCATCAGCATCCTCATCATCAGCATCATCATCGTGATCGTGATCGTCATCGTCATTATCAGCATCAGCATTCATCATTCATCATTTCATCATGAACAACATCATCATCATCACCACCACCATCACCATCATCACCATCATCATCATCATCATCAGCATCATCATCATTAACAACATCATCATCATCATCATCATCATCAGCATCATCATCATCATAAGCATCACCATCACTACAATCACCATCATCATCATCGTCATCATCAGCATCATCATCATGTTCATTTTCATCTTCAGTTTCAGCTTCAGCTTCATCATGATCATGAACATGATCCTCATCCTCATCCTCATCCTCATCAACGGCAGCAACATCATCAGAATCAGCATCGGCATCATCATCACGTTTCGTGGCCCTATAGGGAACTCCTCCGAGTGCAGTGTATACAACGACGGTACTCACGATGCACGGTTCTCACCAGGGCCGTAGGGAACCCGAGGAGGAGGGGGAGGAGGAGAAGGAGGAGGAGGAGGAGGTGGAGGAGGAAGAGGGGGAGGGGGGGAG